CTCACATCCAATGCTAACCTCTCGATCCCTGCCTTAGGGAAAGGTATTTTATGTACTTAATTTTTATTTTTAAAGCTTGTGGCCATGATAATTGGATCAGTGGTCTTTCCCCAGCCATCTTTGGGATTAACAGAGGAAGATAAACTGACACAGACCATCCTCTCCTCCAGTGAACCAGAGTCGGGACCACCATGAACCCAGAGAGATTGACGGCTGTAGTGAGATAGTCCTTCTGTGGCACTGACCACGCCCATTGGGGGGTGGAGCCATGGGCGGAAGTGACCTGTGGAAGGAAGTCGAGGGAGAGTCGGGTGTGACTCAGACAGGAGAGCATTGGGTTGGATTTCCTGGTGTTCATCTGTCTAGGTTGTAAGTTATTTCTCCCTGAATAAACATCTATTCGGCCTATTTGTTTATCCTGATCCTTATTTAACCGCGATAGAAGGCTATCCAGGTAACCTGCCTTTATAAGAGGTGAAGGGTGATTGAACTGCAAGATAACATTTCTGGAAATATTTAGATCTTGGGAGTCTGTCTATGATATCATTGAAGCAAGCATCTAGTTTCCTTTAACAGGATATCAGCATGAGAAGGGTGAAAAGCAAGATGGAATATCCCATATCTCACCCTAGGAGGGTGGCAGGTAACCCAGGGACTTGGGGGGAGGGGCAAGGAACCAGAAGCACATAGATCAGTGGTTCTCAACCTTCCTAACCCTGTGACCCTTTAGTCCAATTCCTCATGTTGTGATGACCCCCAACTACAAAATTGTTTCACTACTACTTCCTAACTGCAATTTTTCTACTGTCATGAATCACAAACATCTCAGAGTGGAAAACAAAGCCAGCCTCAAGCAATAGAGGTCAGGCTGTGGTGATATACACCTTTAACCCCGGGACTCAGGATTAAGAGGTAGGCTGATCTCTGTTAGTTCAATGCTACACTGACTACAGGAAATTGATCTAGTCCTAAATAGAAACAACTCACACAAAGATGATCTCAGCACCTGGGATCACATGCCTTTAATCCCAGCATTAATACCCAGGGAGGTATATAAGACAGGAGCAGGGTCTCAGAACCGGCATTTGGTCTGAGAATGAGAGCATAGCAAGCAGTCTGAGTCAATCTGAGGAGCAGTGAAGTTGGGAGCAGTTTGAGGCCTGTCCCTTTGGTCTGAGGTAGAAGTAAGAGTTCGTGGCTAGCTGTTTTGCTCTTCTGATCTTCAGCTTGAAGCTTGAACCCCAATATCAGTCTCTGGGACTTTTATTTCTCATGCTACAGAGACAATCAACATACAATTCAGCCCCAAAGAACTTTTTACACATAAAGTTACAAATGGTCAGACATCATCAGGAGTCTCCTTCTAGGGATTCGATAATGAGTCCAGGAAGCAGAGGCAGACAGATCTCTGTGAGTTCAAGGTCAGCCTGGTCTGCAGGGTGAATTCCAGGAAAACAGGAGAAACCCAGTTTCAAAAAAAAACCAAATAACTAAATAGATGAGATCAACCAAGAAGTGAATCTAATGTCCAGGCCAATTTCTTGGACTTATGTGGCCCTAGAGGATAATATCTAATTTCAAAGCACCCTATAAGAGAAGTGGATAGAAGAAACCTTTGCCTGGCATTTTCCTTCTTAGCCTTTGCTCTGCTCCAGGGCAGGTCCTTACAGGCTGCCTCCCTCTGGCTTTTGAGCTCTTGCCCATGCACTTTGCATGAGAGCTCCTGGTGATCAAGGCACACATGGAGGGAGTGCCTAGGGACACTGAAGGAAGGGGAACTTGAGAAAGTTTGTTTAAGCCAGAGCACACTGTGCCTGCTGGTTAGAATGGCCCCAGCCTCTGCATGTGGTAACATAAGGACAGGACATGGGTGGATGAAGAGCCATCTCACATGTCCACTGAGACCTGCCATTTACACATGGAAGGGGTGTGTTATCCATTATAAAAGGCTGATTTCAGTATTCAGTGAATAACAGATTTATTAATTTACTTAATTTTTGTAATGCCAGGGATTGGATTTAGGGCTTCAAGCAATCAAGGCAAGTAACTTAGACTTATTAAATATCAATTATATGGAGCATGGTTTATTAATCTCTTGATGTTATGGTGGTGTATGAGTGAACAGCCTTTTTTTGGGCTTGTTGCTGAGGATGGGGCCCCACACATGTGAAGCATGAGCTCTGCCACTCAGCTGCCTGTTAGAGGGTATGGCTGGCATACTCTGTCCTCTACCCTGAATTCTCCAGCCCAAGGGCTGGGCTACATGAGTGTCAAGCACAGGAATATTAACTCATGTAATCGTCACAAAGACCATTCTGTACTTGAAGGGCGGTAAGAAAAAAGAGAAACTTGGCTGACTTCAACTGTCATATCTGTCAAAAACACACTATTCTGCATTAAGGGATTTGTCAGATGAGGAAGTTATCAATATTTTCCATAGATGGGTTCAGATCTGTAATAAAAATTTTATACAATGCTATATCTGAGCTTCCAGATTGGATGACAGGAGGTGGGGGAGAGCTTTAAAAAAAAGGGGGGGTGGGCAAAGTAAATCTTTTGAGTTTTTTTTTTTTTTTTTTTTTTTTTTGGTTTCTCAATGTAGCTCTGGCTGTCCTGAAACTTACTATGTAGACCAGGTCAGGCTCCAACGAGATGGGCCCCACTCTTCCTCCTAGAGTGCTGGGATTAAAGGTGTGCACAACCACCACCACAGGGACAAAGTCAAACTCTATCATGCCTAATTTGAAAATCAGCAACGCAACACAAGCCGCTTTTTAATGTCTTCTCAGGTCTCAAAGAAACCCTGGACAGAACCAGCACAGGGCTGAACTAGGACCCCTGAATACAGGTGACAATGGGGAGGCTTGGGCAGTATATGAGGCCACTGGCAGTGGAACCAGGATCTAAGTCTAATGCACAAACTGATTTTGTGGAGCCCATTCTCAATGGAGAGAGTCCAGACACGGGGAGGGGGTGGGGGGGTTAGTCCCGCCTGAAAGAGGCAATGGAACAGACTTAGTTCGGGTCCTGGGGGAGGCCTTACCTTCTCTGAGGAAAGCATGGGAGGTTCCTGGGAGGGGGAAGGAGGGGGAGTAGGAGGAGAGGAGAGAGGGGGAACTGGGATTGGAAAGTAAAAAATAAAACACAATTTAAAAAGTAATAGTTATCACAAAATTAAACAAAACCAAACAAACAAAAGAAACCCTGGGCAAGCCTTAGCAGCTGATAGGCCTCACATCTCGCCCCGCCCCCTACCCTAAACCTCTCCCCCCCCCCCCAGTTTCTCTTCCTTATATAACTCAGCCATTTTGGCTACATATCCTCTTGGGTTCTCTTGGCTCCTGGTTTGCTTAACTCCTGGATCGTTCTTGGTCTGCCCACCCCACCTTTCCTCTTGCCACCCCATCCCCACCCACTGACCCGTCTGAGTCAGTCTGCAAGCTATGTTCGGTGCGGACTCTTCCAGATGTTTGTGGCTGTTGGCGCCCTCATTTCTACAATAAACCTTCTTAACAATGTCTTGGAGTGGTCATGTCCTGATTTTCCATCCAATTTAAAATTACCTATATTTATTTCTGTACATGCCTGTGTACTTGCGCGCGTGCGCATGTGGTCGGAGGACAACTTTCGAAAATGGGCTCCAGGGATCTAACTCGGCTTGGAAACACCATGCTAAGGCACCTTCGCCTGCCTCACGCTTCATTTATAAAAGAAGAATTTCGAATGGTTTTCGGGAGTTTTTCTGAAGTCCTACACTCTTTTTTTTTTTTTTTTTTTTTTTTTCATTTTACACATCAACCCCAGTTCCCTTTCCCTGTCCTCCTGTTCCCATCCCCCACCCCACCCCCATCCACTCCTCAAAGTGGGTAAGGCCTCCCTTAGGGAGTGAACAAAGTCTGGCATATCAAGTTGAGGCAGGACCAAGCTCCTCCCCCCTGCATCAAGGCTGAGCAAGGTATCCCACCATAGGGAATGGGTTCCAAAAAGCCAGTTCATGCACGCGGGATAAATCCTGGTCCCACTGCCAGCCCCTCTCCCCAACAGATCACGCCACATAACTGCCACCCAAATTCAGAGGGCCTAGTTAGGTCCCATGCAAGTTCCCCAGCTGCCCGCCCAGAGCCTACACGCTATCTCGAAATGAAAAACATGAACAAAGATGGAGCATAGCAGCCCCATGATGACCGCGGCAATCCTTGGTTCCCTTTTCTGTGCCAAGAGGTGAACTAGGTGAGACAGACCCTAACTAGCTAAAAAGGTTTACTCCCATCTTTAGGTTAACTTAGGGGAAAAAAGATGGTTTTACACATACTCCCATTCTCCCAGACTCGTAAGAAGTGACACTCCATAATTTATTTAGGCACTTAAACTCTTGGACACTCAGGAAATGCCTTCCTAGTATTTGAATTTTCATAACAGGCGTGGCCTAGCTTTCAGTGCCCAAGGTTAAAAAGGTCACTCCTCGCTATAGAAATTCTAATCACAGTCACAGCTAGGTCTCCAAACAAGTTTTGAGTTTAAACAGCTTTATTGACCCCAGTGACAGTCTAGGTGTCTGGCTTGCAGCTCCCTGCCACTTTCACACCTGCGCACTCCTTGGCTTTACTTGCCCTGGGGAATGAGTTCCGGAGGATCCGTTGCAGGCGGATTTACAGAGGCCGCCCATCACCAGCCACCAGAGGCTGCAAGTGCCCACTTTGCACTCCCTGCTTCTGCAGGGCCGGGACAGGCTGGGAAGTGGGCTTGGCTTGTCGCGTGGCTAGGCGGGGCGAGCACGCGGTGGGGGCGGAGAGAGGGCGGAGCGAACTCTGCACAGGGCGGGGCGAACGGTGAGGGGTGGGACAAAGAGTGCGGGGCGGGGGTGTTGTGGGGAGGCGGGACTAATGATGAGAGGCGGGGCCTTGGGTGGAGAGGCGGGGCAAGGCCGTGTGTTGGGAGGCGTGGTTAAGGGGGCGGGTCCGATGGGGCGGGGATAACGAGGCGGGGCAGGGGGCACGAGGCGCGCCTAGTTGGGCTGCAACTCTTTGCCGGCCTTCCTGCTGCACCGCGCGCGGGCGGAGGCACGGCTTGGCGGGAACGCGAGAAGAGCGTGCGGAGCCTCCGGTGCTGGCGGCGGCAACGCGTGCGATCCTGGGTCCGGCCGCAGCACGCGGAACTGATCTGAAGGTGGCGGGGCCCGGCGGAGCCGCGATGAAGCCGAGCAGCGAGGAGGAGGCGGTGGTGTGGGGCGTGGGCCCCTGGGACGAGTGCTTCGAAGTGGCGGTGCAGTTGGCGCTGCGAGCCGGACAGGTGAGCAGGGTCGCGGGGTCCAGCCCCGAGCCACGCCCGAGATGGACAGCGTGGGCGCGCTGCGGGCGCGTGGGCGGGAGCGGGGCAAGTTGCACGGACAGGGCCTGTGTTATTTCTGGGGCGCACCTAGCTCTGGCCCTTCACCCCCCTGCTGCGGGAGGAGGCGAGCGTGGGGAGCGTGGGGTCACCACCATGGGGAGAAGGGCGCAGCCTTCGGGAAATCATGAGGGACTCCCTCTTCATTTGGCGATGGAATGACCAACTGCTTGACCTTGGCGTTTGAGTCACCTGGAAAGCAAACGTGTCCCTCCCAGGCTAGAATACCGCAACTGCTTCCTTTAAAGGACCAATCCTACAGCCAGGTTGTCGATGGCCCAACAGGCGCGTGGAGCTCTGGCTGGATTGCCGTTGATTGTCCTTCTCCGGGCATCTTGAGTCCAGACAGCCTAGGCTCACAGCCTGAGAGCTCCTCCAGGGAGTGACTGGCACAGACCCGAGTTCAGGAGGAACTCGTTAGACTGCCGGAAGGATGGAAACCAGCGCAAAGCTGAAGAAAACCAGACTAGGCTTGAAAAATAACTGTGGCGCCTCTGTTTTTCTTTTTCATTTTTGTGTTCGCTCCCTAACTGTTCCTCAGTCTCTTCAGCGTCGCAGAACTTAGAATACTGGTGGAATGGATATGCAGTGGCTCCCCAGGACATCAGAGCAGGCCTTGTTCCATACTTTGTTTTTTAAAACGTGGTTATGCAGTGCTGACTTAGGGGTCAGGCAGGATTTACAGTAGTGCTTTGCACAAAAAGGCTTATATCAAAAAAAAAAAAAAAAAAAAAAAAAAAAAAAGAAAGAAAGAAAGAAAGAAAGAAAAAAAAAATTTCAGGTGTATCTGAAAATACTCTAAAGGGGATGTCTATTAAAAAGTGTTGCTGTGGTGCTAGGGATGGAGCCCAGTGATACAGTGCATGCACAAAGTCATCCCAACATAGCAACAATGGGAAGGACAAATACTTTGAAACTATCGTGTGCATTATGCAGTAAAAAGAAGAGTCTGGCCCTTTCCAGACAACTGATGAAGCTTGTAGCTCAGTGCAACCCCTCTTCCTAGAAAATAGTTCCTCTGTGATCAGGAACTTACAGCCCTCTCTCCCTTCTCCTCTCCTTGCTTCTGTTCCAACAAGAGCATCCTTCCAGAGACAGGGATGTCCACCTATGTGGGAGATTTAAGATTCCACTATACAACCTTCTTTTCTCCTGAAACTTTAGGGCTTAGGCACTGCTCTGTAAAAGCTGGTGAGTGGAGTCAGGTTCTGTGCCTTTGAGACTTACGTCTTTAAAGAAATAGAGGCTTAAGTGATTTTTAGTATTTGACGGAAGTCTGCAGCATCACAGGCACGGTTCTTGAGTGCTTTGTAAGTTTTAACATAAAAAGATTGGTGTTTTTGGAATTTCTCAGCAAAAAAACTTTCTTAAAATTTAGAGGCAGTGAAGTAAAGATTCTGACAGCAGGGATCTATCTGGTCAGGGAGCTCAGGACTCTGGGTTCCAATCTGGGAATTATACTGCTTGCTGCCTGCCTGCCTGCCATCCAGTGAGGGGAGAGGCTGAGAGAAACAGAAGGCATGCCAGGTCATGGTAACTAACCTGAGAAAAGAGGGAAAGATTCTCTAAATGGTTATCTCTAGTAATCAGGTACTGACTGGAACAAACACCCCAGCAAGGCAGCCCAGTGAGGGAGGAAGACAGTGCGTGGCAGCTTTGAATCCTCTAGCCACAGGACCCACCCTTGCCAATACGCTGCTAGTTACCAGTCGAGGGTCTGGGTGCTGTGTGCTAAAAAGTCAGGGTTGCTAAACGAGGGAGTTCCCAAGATATATGCCCAGTGTCCCCAGATTACACTGCCTACACTCCCCCTTACCTCCTTTACGCTCTGCCCATTTGCTCATTTATCCTTAGCTTACTGGAGTCATTCCTGCTCTGCAGAATGCCCAGCCACTCACATGCTAAAGAGGCCTCAAGTGTGTGTGTGTGTGTGTGTGTGTGTGTGTGTGTGTGTGCTTCTTCACCTGAGTAGATGGGTGCATGCATGTGTGTTTTGCAGGGGACCCCAGCCAGGGCCTATATAGCTCTGCCACTGAGCTATATCCCCATCCCTTATGGTGTTTTCTCTCTCTCCTTCTGTTTTTTCCTTCTCTCCTGACAGAGTCTCCATTTTAGCCCAGGTTAGCCTCCTGATCCCCTTAACTGCCTCCCAAGTACTGGGGATTATAGTGCACTATAATGCCAGCTCATTGTAGTGTTTTCTGTGAGGGAATAGAAACATAAACAGCTTTTCCTATTGCAAAATTGATAATTTTTTCTAAACTATCAATAATAAAATCATAGTACAACTTAAAACCTTAACAGTTGTGATCAACTGAGAGCTTTAAATTTTCTTTAGTGCTGCCGTATTTTATATATTACTTGTACTGTGGGAAAGAGGGTTGAACAGGCCTGATCCCAGGTGAGTGTGTTAACAACCTCACCTACTCTCCAATCAGCACTTTCCTGAGTTCAACTGCCGCATACAGATATACTCCCCTCTCTGTACTGATTGCTGGTGACAGCAGACCAGGCCAACTGGTGTGGTGGACAGGGAGAACATTCTGAAAGCTGTCTCTATACTGGATGGCCAACAGTAGCTTACAGACAGATAATGCCTGCACATCCCATAGATAGGTGTCATCAATGAATATGTCTACTTACACCTCCTTCTTACCCAAACTGACCATACCCTCTTCAGTACTAACTGATGCCAGGTCTCACAGAGAGTTGGTAATGGGTAAAAGGGACAGGTCCAGTCCAGTCCAAATAGCTGACTTCTGTCCACTTGCAAAAGCTGATCTGGGGAGTTGAGACTATTTTCATTATTGTTTTAAAATGTCTTTTACACTGGGCGGTGGTGGCGCACACTTTAATCTCAGCATTCAGGAGACAGAGGCAGGCGGATCTCTGAGTTTGAGGCCAGCCTGGTCTACAGAGTGAGTTCCAGGACAGCCAGGGCTACACAGAGAAACCCTGTCTCGAAGAAGGAAAAAAAAAAAGTCTTTTACATGTTTACTTCTTTGATAATATTTTTTTAAAACTGGCATTAAAACACTGAAGTTCAGTCACCAGACAAAGTGTGTTGAGCAACTCAGGAACTTCAGCTTTGTTCTGTATAGGATGTGAGTCCTGTGTGGTGAGTGGTACTGTGTAGAGTCCTGTGTGGTGAGTGGTACTGTGTAGAGTCCTGTGTGGTGTGAGGTACTGTGTACAGTCCTGTGTGGTGTGAGGTACTGTGTACAGTCCTGTGTGGTGTGAGGTACTGTGTACAGTCCTGTGTGGTGTGAGGTACTGTGTAGAGTCCTGTGTGGTGTGAGGTATTGTGTACAGTCCTGTGTGGTGAGTGGTATTGTGTACAGTCCTGTGTGGTGTGAGGTACTGTGTACAGTCCTGTGTGGTGTGAGGTACTGTGTACAGTCCTGTGTGGTGAGTGGTATTGTGTAGAGTCCTGTGTGGTGTGAGGTATTGTGTAGTCCTGTGTGGTGTGAGGTATTGTGTACAGTCCTGTGTGGTGTGAGGTATTGTGTAGAGTTCTGTGTGGTGTGAGGTATTGTGTACAGTCCTGTGTGGTGAGTGGTATTGTGTAGAGTCCTGTGTGGTGTGAGGTATTGTGTAGAGTCCTGTGTGGTGAGTGGTATTGTGTACAGTCCTGTGTGGTGAGTGGTACTGTGTACAGTCCTGTGTGGTGAGTGGTATTGTGTACAGTCCTGTGTGGTGTGAGGTATTGTGTAGAGTCCTGTGTGGTGTGAGGTATTGTGTAGTCCTGTGTGGTGTGAGGTATTGTGTAGAGTCCTGTGTGGTGAGTGGTATTGTGTACAGTCCTGTGTGGTGTGAGGTATTGTGTAGAGTCCTGTGTGGTGAGTGGTATTGTGTACAGTCCTGTGTGGTGTGAGGTATTGTGTAGAGTCCTGTGTGGTGAGTGGTATTGTGTAGAGTCCTGTGTGGTGTGAGGTACTGTGTAGAGTCCTGTGTGGTGAGTGGTATTGTGTACAGTCCTGTGTGGTGAGTGGTACTGTGTACAGTCCTGTGTGGTGTGAGGTATTGTGTAGAGTCCTGTGTGGTGTGAGGTATTGTGTAGAGTCCTGTGTGGTGAGTGGTATTGTGTACAGTCCTGTGTGGTGTGAGGTATTGTGTACAGTCCTGTGTGAATGAGCCTCACCACCCAGAGTCCACCTGGTTGCTTCATGGATCCCACACAAATATGACTGAGCTGTATAAAGAAGTGATGGAAAATGATTGAGTTTTGAAGGCTGAGGTGAGAGCTTGGGTTGGGTGTAGGTCCTGAGGGAAAGAGGTGCTAAGGTGACATCAGGGGTTTGGGCCTGAAAATCAGGTTGCACAATGGATTTGCAATGTCCTGAGACCGTGAGCTGCAGGTGGAGCAGGTGTGGGGGTGTTCCAAGGTTGTGGCGCATGGGCGTCCAGTGGATTTCTCGGCAGAGACTGACTGGGTCCAGATTGTGGGAGAGGTAGGACATGTAAATATGGGGAGGATGGTCAGCTGGCTGCCCACAGGACGCCGTCACCCCGAGCTGGGCTCCTGTGCCCTCTTTGGGAGAGTCCCAAACGCCCCTGTATGAAGTCTTCCCTCTGGTGGCTCCTTTCTCCTGCCTGGGCTGAGACATCTGCCACTGAAGGAAGTGAGAAGAAAGAGGTGACTTCACATTTCCACAGTCGTCTCCTTGTGTGCCTCAGTCCTTGCCTCCCCTGCCGCCTGCCCACCCCAGTTTCCCAGGAGCCAGCCCGTGAGAAAACACTGAAACTCTTGCCATCGTTTTGTCCTCTCCCTGCCTGCCTGCCCACCGACCGCTCTAGTGCAGGGGTTGACACCCAGCCTTCCCAGCAAGAATCCCCCCACAGAGCCGAGCCTTCCATAAGGACAGAGTCCCTGTGAGGCAACGGCTCACATGTACTCGGGAACT